TTCGTCAAAATTAGAGAAATTTTACTCAGAACAAAAGTAGAGAAATTTAACCAATCAACATGTTTTGATTATTTCGTATTGTATTGCATGCATGTCTAGCTAGGCCAACTAGCTCGAGGCATGGCATCATCACCACAGTTCGCCACCACCGTCACCAATGGAATCATCACCACCATGCAGTTTGTCTGAGACATCACACCCATCTTTGCCAGGGGCTCCGCTGCCGCCAACGTTGTCATCACCACCACATAGTTTAACAGAGACATTACACCATCATCACCACAGGTCGCCATTGTCACCACCACGCTATTTGTTCGAGACGTTGCACCATCATCACCAGAAGTCACGTCTGTTTGTATTTCTTAACGTCACTACTAAGTACGGGGTTTGAATCCATCCTTAGCTATGGCACCAGAAATACCTTGTTGGTACTTCTTAGCAACATAACTAATGTGTAGCCATGCTACTAAGAAATAGCCTTGATAGCTCCTTAACAATTTTAGATATTTATCCACAAGGGCATGGAGTTATCATTATAGCATTTCACCCGGAAGTAATCAGGGTATCGTTATTTATATTTTTCCAAAGGAAGGCATTTGATTAAGAGTCTAGTATGGATATGAACTTGAATAATACTATTTGCAAGTACACCAATGCTTATAATAGGGGTAAGAATAGTAATTTCAAGATAGTGGACACACACTTGGCATTCCTCAAAGGATAAAATATAAAAGAAAGGATAAAAGAATAATCCTAAGTCGAGCAGGCATTGGTCTAGTGTAGTCATACAAAGATTAGTTGATAATCATACAAATTACATAATTAGTATTAGGGCTAAGTGTGAAGCAGGTAGGGAGGCCACCGAGTACTGGTTTGCCAGCAACCTCATGTGACAATTTAGACTCCTACACCCTAAACGAACGTGGGGGATTACGAAGGACGGACAGGGCTGTCACCACCTACCACCTACCCCACAACTGGAGAGAAGGACAATGAATTCACCTGTCTCTTCATACCCAAGCATCACGCTTTTATATACAGAAACTACCCAAATCCCCTCGAGTCCCTGACCCTACGGATCGACGGGTAAAGAACTTGGACACACCTGACGGCATGATGAACCGCCACCTCAATTTAGCTCTAATTCTGATTATATAAGTTATATAATTGTTTAAGCATAAAGTTAAGTGTGCTATTCTCAAGACACATAAACTCTGCACTAGTTCATATATCAAGATCATAACACAATAACTATACTCTAGTTCAAAAGTATGACTATAATAAAGTGAAGACATCACTTTGGAAGAACCCATATTGATATTCATACTAGGAATCTCTTCTTCCAAGGAGCCAAGCCCTCCGAGGTGGCTTTGCCTTGCTCTAATACAACTAAAAGGTAAAACTAAAGAGAGTAGAGAGTGAGGTGTTGCTCAATGTGGTGTGTGTTTAGAGAGGGGGGTACCCCTCTATTTATACAGTGCTCAAGGCAGTGCTGGAGGCTATTCTTGGAGCGTCCCTGGCTCCCACCACCTTAGCATGCTTCCATGCCACCGTCACAGCAAGGGGTGGATGAGCAGCGCCGACAGGGGGTCGGCCACCATTAGGGGACGAACGCCCATTGACCATGGCCACTCACCATAGCCTTCGCGTGGCAGGCCATGGGCTGGACCAGGATGGCTTCCCCGTTGTGCTTTGCCCTAGTTGCATTGATTTGGTTGGCATCTCTCTTGTTCCTTTGCGCAAATCAGCGTCGCGAAGTGCCTTTTGGTGAATTATTCCATATATTTGTGTTTGTGACCTGCAAAATAATGTTCTCCAAATACATGTGGAACTTGGTTAATAGTAAATGCATATGTGTTTAAGATTGCTTATTTCTTCTCTTTTTGTGACTTATTTGGCGGTCGTATTTGATTGATAGAGACCGCCAACAATGTCCGCCACCTCGAGTAATGACATTGCCACCGAGAAGTTTCTTTGAGATGTCACACTGGCATCACCATGGGTCAACACCACCACCGCCAGTACCATTGGCACCACCACGCCATTTGTCTGAGACATCACACACCATCATCGTCACCACAGGTCACCACCACCACCAATGTCTGTGCCGTTGTCACCACCACGCCATTTCTCTGAGACATCACACCATCATCATCAGCATAGGTCACCACCTCTGCCACCAGTGCCATCGTGACCACGCCATTTGTTTGAGAAATCATAGCATCATCACCATAGCTCGTCACCGCCACCACCAGTGTTGTCAACACCATGCCATTTGTCTGAGATGTCGCACTGTTGCCAGCACAAGTCGCCTCCGCCACCACCAGTGCCGTCATCACCACCTAGCGTTTTGTCCGAGACATCACACTGTCGTCACCATAGGTCACCGCCGCAGCCACCTTTGTCATTTTCATCACCATGCCATTTGTCTGAGACATCGCACCATCATCACCACACATCATCTCCGCCGCCACCTCCAGTGCCCTCGTCACCACCATATCATTTGTTTGAGACATCCCACCATCATCACCACAGGTCGCCTTCACCACACCGCCAGTGCCATCGACACCACCACACAATGTCTGAGACGTTATCAGAAATTACAGCCAAATAAAGATAGAGTCCGTGACATGCTACCGCTGCAACAACAGATCCTGTTTGACACATGATTGCCAGAAATGTGCAAGGAAAATGGCTTTGAATTCAAATAAAGCTACTTTTTGTTGCATATGTTGTGCTATAATTTTATTCTAATGCACATGACATACTAACCTATTTACATTATAGTACAATAAGATATTATATAATTAATATTATTCTTGTGATATTTTGTTGAAAATGGTTTATAAAATTCATGTGTTTAGATTGCTAATATTATCTGGATTTGTAATCATAATCGAATTAATAGGTCTACAATTATACATTTACAAAGATTATAAGGAGGAAACGTCCAAAACCCAAAACTCATGTGTAACAACCCTGAAAGTCCTATAGCCCAAAAATCCCAACTTTCAAAAACTTTTTCCAAAACCTTGCATGGTGAGTGTACATGCTAGGAAACAAACCCTATATGCACTAGGTGAACCCTACTACATGTGTGAGCATGTGCATTAACTCAAACTTATAAGTTGCTTCTTATTTGGTTCTGATGATTTGTTAATAATTAAATAAACTTTTATAAACAAAGTTGTTACGTGTATGTGCTAGGACCTTAGGATGGCTAGCCATATAAGGTGGACCTAGACGACCCACCTAAGGAGGTATACATGGCCTTCTTTAGCATGTTCTGGTCTCCCGTTGCTGGATAGATATATAAATAGATGTTTATGATTATTGGGGTGACTTCATTTGTAATCAGTATAATATAGAGATACATACGCAGATGTATCCATAGATTAAACTAAAACATATATGAAACCAATATATAGAGCGAGAGATAAATTAAAGTCAACAAAAAGATTTGATTGAGATAAGGTACGTACAGTTTGCCAAAAATAGTTTTTAATTGCAGCTTCCTTTTTATTTATTTCTGTAAATAATAAATATAATTAATAAATCCCACACTAACGAAACAAATAGAGAACAAATAGAGATTAATAAAAAAAACTACTGTAGGATAACTTTCTATCACTAATGCTGCCTCGCTATAATTTGGAGGACATCCTGCTCGGAACCATGTAGACAAGTAGTAGGTCTTTTACCAGCAATATCTGGTGGTGATGAAGATGAATAATTAACAGATAAAAGATCTAAGAGGAACTAATGCAGTGGCACTCGGAAACCAAGATGTTGAAGACAATACACTACACCACAACCCACCTTTCCCTACAATTATGTGTTGGTAAATCAAGGGTTTTGGCAACACATAATGTGTTGGAAATTCTTTACCTTTTTAGCGTCACTTAAACTGTCGGCAATAGTAATGTAAGGCTACAACTTATATGTCGGCGTTTCTCCTTCCAACACATAAAGTGTCGGCGAAAGTTTTTAGACAAAAAAAGTGTCGTTGTAGCCTACCTAAGCCACTGTCCAAGTGTCGGCGAAGGGGTAGGTGCCGAAGCAAAATAGAGATGCTTGTGTGGGCGGGGGACAGCGCGCCGAAACCTCTTTTTTTATCGGAAAAAGGCTAAGCCACTAAAACAGGAGGCCCACCCTTCATTCTCCACTCACGCAGACTTTAGAAAAAAAAGAAAAACCTCGCTAGTAGGGCTCCGCTGCCGGGCGCCTCCAGGAGCCGGTGCTGGAGGCTAGCACCCGACGCAGCCGCCACCCCTGACGCCTGCCCAAATCGCCGCCTCCCAATCCCGCCGGCGCCGAAGTCGTCCCTGGCAGGAGCCCCGCAGCCTACAGCCCTAGCCCCCGCCGCCGAATCCAACGGACGCCGCCGCCCCAGCCCCCAGTCACCCTAGCCTGCTGCCGCCCAAGCCTGCCACCCTCAAGCCCGCCGTCGCCCTAGCCCACCACTGGCCAGCAAGAGTGGTGCCTCCCCATTCCTCTCTGCATCCAGGTGCGTCATCTCCGCATCCCCGTCCTCTCATCCCCATTCCCCTGAGTGCTAGGGTTTCGGCACAACTTAATTTCTTGTATTTTTTTCTTGGTTGCAGAAAGGAGTAGACGAAGGTGAGAAAGGCTAGAAAGATTCAAGGTTTGGGTTACTTCTCCCGCCAAACTTTCATTCAGTCTAGATCCGCCCTCTCTTCCACTATTTGGAGAAGGCTCGATTTAGATGTGATCTTGTGAAGGTTGTGATCTTGATGCTACTTGCAATGCTAGATATTATGATTGTTTATCTGGTTCCTAATTTCTAGAAGCTCTCTAATTTCCCATATAGCTGAAGAAAAAAATATTGTTTATCTGGTCTCTGCATCGTGATTGAATCAGGTCTGCTATTAGTACAGGTTTGTTCATGTACTAGGAAACTAAAGTAGGGCATCAACTAATAATAGTCGTAGTGTGTGGAGGAGTAGTGCTAGTTCTACCCCTACTCCAGAAAGCTCTGTATGAGAGGAGAGGAAGCTGTGAGTTACTGAGGAAGAACAGAGCATGCTCCTTGGCATGAAGGCCATGACGACATGCATCTTTGCACAGACATGTACAGAATATGGCTAACAATTCAGAAAGATGCATGTGTGTATGTACATAGTGTGTCTACATTATTTTCCTGCATATGAAACAAACACGTTAGGGCTAGCTCTTGGAGTGGTAGTGGAGATATTGTTGAAGTGTTAATAATCTGATATTTGTGCCTGAAATGATATATGAGATCATTGACTGAACTATGTATTTGACATGCATTCAGTCATTCTTATACCCGAATTTCAGGATGCTGCCTATGCCTGCCAATAGGTTAGGTGCCTAGAAAAAGTTCACCGTTAGTGTTACTAAAACTAAAGCTCTTTTGGTTGCCATCTCCCCTGTTTTAGAGAATTTAGCACATACTAGCTAAATAAGTATGCTCTGTGGATCTACTGTTGCCCAACCTTGAGAAGTGCTCTGTGGAAAGGTTGTCATAGTTCACCTTTCACCTACATCTCTTGCCTAGTTTAGACTTCCATCCATCTTTTGCCTATATTCTTTGCTATAAAATTCAGCAAGTTGAATGAGTGATAATTTTTTCAGGGGTGATCTAAGAATCTTTGGAGGAAATGTGATGCACCAGCACCAACAATGATTGAATTTGAGGGGTTTATCTAAGGAGTTGTTTGCCAATGATCTGTTTGTCATGCACCACCAGCAACATTGATTGGATTTGAGGAACAACAGAACCCTAAAACAGTAGTAAGTATCCACTTTCTATATTGATAGCTTTGGAATTGTAGTTGTGTGTTAGGACATTGACTCGTATATGTCTGTTTAGTAGGCTGCACCCTACATTCTTATTCTGGTGAAAATCAGCAATTATATTTGGTGAAGATATCATCTGTTTATTAAGACTGTTATAAGATATTTACTAGAATGGACTCAATTTTTTTCATAGTCATATCTGTGTGATAATTGTGTGAATTTGTGGTGAAACTGAAATAGTGAATCAACTAGTCAAGCCCTTAGCTAATCATTGAATGTTTAGTTTTGTCCCTTTTGCTTGATTTGCAAGTGCAGCATGTGTTCTGTCACCTCCTCTTGTGCCCATACTCTACTCATCTATGCAATTGTATACTAATTTGTATATCACTTCTTTCTTACTGCAGCACAGTGTCTCCCATAAATTTCAGGCCCTGCTTGCTTCTTCTAATACTTTCTACTGCATAACTCTGTCTTAGCTTGCTGTCGAGTCAAACAAAAATATACGTTTGTATAATCAAAGAGCTATTAAGGCCATAGACCATAGACCCTAAATGCTTGTAGCTGCTGTGAACATTAGATACAGATTTTGTACGGGATGATAGTAGAGCAATACTCCGTAGCTAATGTACAATGTGCCCATACTAACTTGTATACCAGCACGATTCAGAACTACAGATGTGCAATGTGCAGGGAGTGTGCTAGCAATTCTAATTGGGGTATAAAAAGTTAGTACACCAGTTCATGTATGCTTCTTTTTCTAAATTGGTTTCATTGCTTGTTTGTGATCATTACTGTTAGGACAAGTACGTTTTCAACCTTTTAACTGTGCTCGTGGTTAGTGCAGAAATATTAAAACCTCCCCTCAGTTTTTCTTACTTTTTTGTACTCTATAATAACTACTCTATAAACTAGGAGTACAGGCATCCGGTCACCATTCTAGAGGATTTAGATATGATTTAAGTTCATCTTATATAGATAATACACCTCTTTCAGTTAGATTTATGTGAAGCAACTCATGGGACACAGTTTAAATTAACTTATGCACCAACATCAGTCTTGCCAATATTTTTTTTTTCCAATTCATACAAAGACCTATATGTATTAGGGATGAAAATAGGACAGATATTTCTCGACATCTGGTATCCATCTAAAATATGTCACATTATAGTTGGTAATATTTTTGGCTTAAAGCATCTGCAAATAAGTAGGAATTGTTGCTTAGAATTACTCAATGACAAATATATGAACCTTAAGCTTAGATTCCTTGTTATTTCAGGTCAAACAGTTTTTTACATTTATAGGATCCAGACAAGAAAGCAATCTTCACTAACTGATGTTGAAACTCCAAGAGCTGTTTGCTTCTAGCTCAGCCATCCATTTTGTAATTCTCTTGGTTGTCCAACTTCTTTTGCAACAGAATTGCTCTCCATTCCTCAGTGTTGTGTCAACTCACCATCCTAGCCTCTTTGAACTTGCTAACAGCTTCTCCAGCTCGCCCATTGCAAGATCAAATGATTCAATGTCCCTGGCATGACAAAGAATTCTGCAAATTAAGGAATAACAATGTATGTGTTGCTTAGATATATTCTATGTTTCTCTACTTATATATGTAGTTAATTGTATTATCCACTGCTATTAGTTCCCAAGTTTTCGTCACATTTTCATTAGCGAGGTCTCTCTGTTCTGATTTACTCCCCCTGTGCAAATAAGGAGGGCCCCAAATGTGTTTTGCTTTCCGAAGTATGTCAATTATTGTTCTTTAATTGAAACCAATGTGAGAGCAGGAGCAATATTGCACATTTGGAATGCATTATGTGCCTATTTGTGCCATGCGTGACATACTTATTTGTTTAGCAAGCTTTTCAGTAGGTAATGGCACTCTTATCTTAGAAGGCTTCTGTGTTTCCAGGTGATAGTGAGCATAGTTGGTCTTCTTCTATTTGGGAAGGTGTTGGAGCCTTTATGGGGAGCTAAGGAGTTGCTCAAGTTTATTTTTATTGTTAATCTCTCAACTTCAGCTTGTGTCTTCGTAACTACTATTGTGCTGTACTACATAACACAGGAGGAGAGCTACCTGTAAGTGTCACATTCCATTAATTACTAATCCCTCCATCCTAAAATATAAGGAATCGAATCAATTTTCAGACAAATAAGGAGTCTGACAAAATACCGCATTACCCTTCACTAATTAGGAGACAATGAGTAGTTCGGTTATTGCTTTCCTAGTTTAAAGGGAATCTTTACATGTTATTATTTCCTACCATGAATTAGAGAGGAAAGGTAAGGTGTACTTAGAAGGAAAGGGGTGTTCGGTTAATAAAGATAGAGCAGAGAGAGGAGCTGAGGACCTAGAATACCTTATATTTTGGTAAAAATTTTGAAATCTCAATTCCTTATATTTCAGGACAGAGGGAGTAGCTTGCTAGTCAAATAGTTTTTTTTATCCAATTTACATGGGCACTTTGTTGGGAGATGCAGCAACATGATGTTTTCTGATTCTTTTCAATAGTGGATATTCATGATTTCAGTTCATAATAATTTTCTCGACCTAGTTATACTTTACCATGAAAATTGACATTACATCTATTTGATTCTGCAGCTACACACCTGTTTCTGGGTTTTATGGAGTTCTTTCAGGACTACTGGTGGGCATCAAGCAAATTTTAGCCGATCAGGAGCTTAATCTTTTTGTGCTCAAGATTAGTGCAAAGGTGTTTGATCACTTCTGTAATGAAATTTGTCTAATTGTGCATTCAATTTTGATTATCTCCCAATGTTTCCTAACATTTTTTTTTCTGTTTATTCAGTGGATTCCATCTATCGTTGCATTTATCTCTGTTGCCGTAAGATTCTTCATAAAGGAATCGATGTCATACCTTCCCATCATATTATTTGGCATCTACATGAGCTGGATTTACCTACGTTACTTCCAAAGGAGATTAGAAGTAGTCCTTAAGGGGGACCCAAGTGATGAATTCTCATTTTCAAGCTTCTTCCCTGGATTTTTAAGGTACTGTTTTTCACAAGTGATCTTGGTGTAAAGCAGTGGGAAATGCAATGCAATAATTCTGCGATGTGTGAATCCCTAATTTAAGATGTTAGAAGAAAATTTTGGATTACCATTGCAATTAAACATAACATCTAACTCTACCTTCGAAAGCATATATGAAGAGAAAGAGTTAGGAAATGGCTGTAGAGATATCAGATATAGGTGCTCATCCAACCTTTTTTTTTCGATGCTAGAGGTGGCTCCTGGTCCCTAGTAATAACTCAGAACTCTAATGCTAACCAACCAACCATATCATTTTATGGATTCCTAGCTCTAAGGTTCTGTAGAAGAATTGTCCTTGGATTTTTTTTCTAAAAGTTATGATTGCTAAACACTTTACAAACAGTACAAGACTCAACAAATCTAGAAATAAATAGACCTAAACTTTGTTTTTTATTTCATAAACTTATTGAAATATTGTAGGCCAATTTTGGACCCTATTGCTTCCATATTCCACAAACTCTTCTGTGGGCGATCTGCAAGACCTGAAGGCACAGGCCAGACATTGGATGGGTCATAGTTCCCTGGTTCGGGGTCCATTGAGGCAAACAGGAGGAGGTGCGAATTCCTTTTTTTTCTCATCGTTTTAGCTATCCATCACTGAAACCATTTGTTTAGTAGAGCACATGCTCTTGGTTTCCTACCCGTTGAGCACCATCACGAAATGATTGCTACCCATTGATCAGTCCTGATGTTCTTATCTCGGGCATCTCATTTGATTTGATTATTGTCCGTTCCCTACAGAGAAAGGGGTCAGAGGGCACTGGAGCAGAGACTGGCGGAGAAGCTGGTCGCGGTCAGGAACGTGGAGGGCACGCCTCCGCCGAAGCAGCAGTAGAAGCAGCGGGAGGACGCGGAGGATGATGCTTCTGATAAAGTTTGAACCCTTGTGTCAGGAGAGCTGGAGAGGAGATCTTCTGTCAAATTTTCCTTGTATTTTTGCACGTGCCATATGGAAGATCTAATATATTATTTATACAAAAATCAAGTGAATTTGTTCAATGTGATTCCTTCTATATGAGCAAAAGTGGATTTGTCAAATTATTTTAATTGTAATTATATCTATGCAGTTTTGTCGGCAGTTTTTTTGGCAGGGTATGGTTTGTAAAATACCTTGGAAATGGTTTGGCCAACATACAAACTGTCGGGAAAGGTTTTAACTGTCGGCGTAGGTCTTAACTGTCGGCAAAGGGTTAACTGTCGGCAAAGGTTTCAACTGTCGGCGTAGGTAGACCGTTTGCCTACACACAAAGTGTCGGGAATTCTGTTAATTGTCGGCAAAAGTTTCGCCGACGGCTTCTAGAGCGACTGTTTCTAAACTGTCTGGAAAACTTTTCGCAGGAGGTTATCTGTCGGCAAAGGTGCCCTTTGCCTATAATAGAAAGTGTCGGTAAAAGTATGTTGTGTTATAGTGATAGCACAAAGCGAATCATATAGCATTGGCTTGGATATACCCTCCTTCCTGAAATTCTACTCTGCTGGTAGCATGACCCTTGGTACTCATGACTAAGTAAATAGATAATGGTCGTAACATTTGACTGATAAAAGTAACACAAGCAACAGTAATAAGTAAGATCCAAATAAATAAACCCAAATAGAGCAAAAATAGATAGATATTTTTAAAAAATGGATATCAGATGAATTAGTTATGATTTTTTATATGTAACCATACTTTTATTCTTATTAGGAAAATGCATATACAGGCCAAAGTGGAGGGACAATGGGCCCAGACATTGTGACGAAAATTTTGCACCGTCATTATTTCACACATGGATCAAAACCGTGACACCTAAAATTCGTCGCAATGATTCGTTGCCATGTTTGGTGCCAACGTGGCATGCTGACTTGGCCATGGAAGCCATCTGTTGGTTGTTTCAGTCGTCCAAAACATTTCTGAAGTAGTGGAGATTCGAACTTGCAACATCACGGTACCAACTCCACACACATCCCCACTGCAATACTATGATCTTTTGTGATATAATCTAGAATAGTATTATTATATTCTTAACATTGTTGACTTCAGCAATCTAAAAGGTTCCAACTCCACACACATCCCCACTGCAATACTATGTTCTTTTGTGTTATAATCTAGATTAGTATTATTATATTCTTAACATTGTTGACTTCAGCAATCTAAAAGATCCAGCCCCTGAATCATATGAATTGTGTGCACACTTATTAAATTGTGTTTTTCTGCAATGCATGTCCAGATGGATAGAAGTTGGGTGTACAACACACTATTTTTACTAAATATGTCATTGGTGTCACGAAAATTTAAGGATCATTAAAGAAAAATTTGGTGACAATGATCAGATTCTCTGCCCCATGTACTAGATGGCTTAACCAGAAGTACCTGCATCTGCCCAATGTGAAGAAGCACATATTGTAGAATGGCATGGACTGTACATATACTCGGTGGGTACATCATGGAGGGGACATTAGTGTACATGTTAATCAAGTTCCTATTCCTGTCATTAACAATGATGAAGGTTCCATAGATGGGATGGGTGTGGTCGAGGATGACAACAATGGTGCTGATCGGTTAGATAGGATGATAAGGGACCTACAAACTGTAGAAGGACATGGTAGACATGCATGGTACTGAAACTATATGGAAACAAAGATGGACACACGGAAGGCTCTTTTTTGAATCATGTGATGAAGGAGGCTTAGCACTAGCTTTATCCTGGTTGTACTAAATTTTCAAAATTCTCAATTGTGGTACCCGACGGCTGGCGTGTCACCTGTGGACCCTTCTCCATCTTCATCTGACCTGTGGGAGCCGACAGCTTGCGTGTTACTTGTGGACCCTTCTCCATCCGACCTGTGGGACCCGACCTTTCTCCATCTCCATTTGACCTATGGGACCCGATGGCTTGCATGTCACTTGTACCCTGTGTGCCGCCGGGGTTTAATAAAATCTAACTCAAACAAACCATGAGACCTAGGAGTCGAACCCGGGACCCAGAGCAAGGAATGGACTGTCTTCACCATTGCGCTAGACGCCTGGTTGTGTTGACATGTCTTTGGAGTCCTTATAGTAGTATATATTCTCTGTGTGGATGCCCTACAGGTTGACCTATATATTGTATAATGAGCCTTTATGTACCCTGTCCCCTAATCTTTTTAAGCGTTGAGATGAGAAAGATATGACTGTATTTTAGCTAGTTAGTGGCATGGTTCCTATCTCATTCTGTAGATGGTTAATACCTAAATTGAGAGCTGTATGGAATAAAATATTGGAGGACATTCTTGATACACAGTTTGTATCTGACCAGGACATTGTCTCTTGGAAACTTGAAGGTAAAGGTAAATTTTCTGTGAAATCCACTTATAATGCTTTGACCTGTTTTGAGGGGGGACCCTCAGTTAAGTATATTTGGAAAGGAAAGATTCCTGCAAAAATCAAGATCTTCCTTTGGTTAGTGGATAATAATACCATCTTAACTAAGGACAATTTGATAAAAAGACAATGGAAAGGTGGTGCTACTTCTGTCATCTTCCTGAAACTGTTAATCATCTGTTGTTCAACTGTTCTGTTGCCAAGGTTGTATGGGCAACAGTTGCCACCTGTCTTGGAGCATCCAACATTCCAACTTCCTTTGATCAAAGTTGGAGATGGTGTGAACAATGGATTCCTAAAGGAAATCAGTTTTATGCCGTGGGCATTGCGGCCACTTGCTGGTCAATTTGGAAAATGAGAAAAATAATCTGTTTTGATGGGAAGAAATTCCATAATCCTCTGGAGATTGTTAGTCATGCGTGTGCTTTAATGAAATTCTGGGAAGGTCTTCAAAAAGAAGTTGATAAGGAGGCGTTGATCAAAGGCATGGAAACCATGATCAAGATTGCGGTGCAACTTTTGAGCAAGAAGAACCAAGCTGCTGGTCAGTCCAACCTGCTACAAGATGCAACCGGGAAGGATGAGGAGAACAAGGAATCAGATCGTTGAAGAGCTAGATGATGTTAGCAGCTGCAAAAAGTTTATGTTGTAGGCTTTTGTTTGTCGCTGCTGTTAATTTCTGGGTTGTAGTCTGTTATGGGAGTTTAGCCCCCTATACTGTTGGTATCCTGTTCTGTCTTTTGCTTTTCTAAACAATCTCTTTAAACCCTAGTTGTATTTCCATTCATATGCAATGGAAATGGGGAGATCCCTGGTTCAAAAAATATCCCCTACAAGTGGAAACAAATCTGTACCTGTTGGACTTGTGGTGGCAGCGGCGGTGGCGGCGGAGGATCCCCAGTATGCTGTGGTGGCTCAGGCGTCCTTTTGGAGGCTAGGCGGTGGGGCTTCCCGGTGGAACACTACGACATTAGCGTCCGTGTCCGTTGTGTGCTGCGACAGAGGCGACAGATCCGGTCTGCAGGTCTCCTTTCTCACCTTTTCCTGTTCGCTTCACTGTTTTGGTCCTTGCTAGAACATGAGGTATACAAGAAACATTGTAGCGTTGGAGATTTGGTTAGGCCAATGATGTTGAAAAGAATTAGGAGCTGGCACTGGTTGGTTTTCTGCTCGTGTCTTGGTTTTCTACATATGTTCAGTGTTCTTACTGTAAATGCCTATGTGCAACTAGGCCTATTAATTGACAAGTGCTTGCTTGATTATACCTATCTGTCTAGGCAAACAAACAGACCCTTCGCTTCTGTCTTAAACTATTTTTTTGTCTAGTGCTTGCTTGATTCTACATTTTTGTTTCATATGCTCCAGTGCCACCAATGAGTCCTTATGGTATTTAGAACATGTAACATATCTGAGGCCATATTTCTATGCCAATGATGTCTACATGGTTGTGGGATGTATTAGGATGCAACTCGTATGTTTGCTTTCTGTGTCTTCTCCTTGTTGACGACCAAGTTATTCATTTGGTTCAAAACAAGAGGAAGGCATCGAAAGCAAATCAATGCTTTATGTCCATCATTGACATGACTGAGGCCAATAATATTTAAGCTGCACATGTTGCTACTGATGCCAATGATGATCACTACCACTTGTTCATTGACATTCTACTTGTGAAAACCGAGCAAGCTCCATTAACTATTGAAATTGTAATGGTTACAGCTCCATTAACTGCTCCTCTAGTTTGAGTTATATATATCTATGTGGTGCTACTCTAAATTTAGATGAGGTCGTACCATGAAAATTGTTAATGGTTATTAAAGTTGCACTTTGGTATGAGTTGTGGACTTCACTAATGGATCTTTGTTGGATTATTTTCCTCTTCAGTGATCTGATTACTGAGGAAGCTCTCATCTTACTACACACTAACAAAATGGAGGAGGCCCCCAACAAGAGGAATGCACTGGCTAGCCTCACGGAGGATGTCTTTTTCAAGATCCTCCGTTGCCTCCCCGCCCACTCCATGTTCTACTTTAAATGTGTCTATCGCTCCTGGAAACGCCTCGTCTCGAACTCTAACAACCATAAGAATCTGCCCAGATTGTGGCCGGCTTCTTCTATGACAGTGAGAACAGTAATTGACACTTCACCAGCGTCCCTGGTGTGCGCCCCCTCCTTGGAATTCATGCCCTTCAATATTGACAATCCCTGGTGTACGGCCTCATCCTATGATGGTGCCTTGGGGTTGATGGATCATACCGCTATGTCATCTGCAATCTAATGACCTAGAAGTTTAATATACTGTCGCCTAGAACCCTTGATGTTGGCCATTCTATTGGTAAGGCTCGCTTGGGGTTCGATCCGACAGCCTCCTCGCACTTCCATGTGATTGAATATGTGGATGTCGACACTATGTACGCAGTTGTGGAGATCTACTCATCTGCAACTATAGCACGGATCTGTAAGGAATCTGAATAGGGCGAGCATACTGATATGACATTTTACAAATCACCAAGTGTGTTTCTTAGTGGTTGTCTGCACATTATGGGGCACTCTGGGGTGTACTCTATGATACTTGCTGTGGATATGGAGGGAAACACGTGGAGGAAAATTGATAGGCCTAGTGATCTTCAACACTCCATGCATCAAGCTCAGGGTCATTTGTGTGTATGTACTCTTGCTGGTTCCAATGATTCCAAGCTTTCAATCTAGATCCTTGAAGACTATGGTACTAATAATGGGACATTGAAGCATATGGTCAGCATGCGGATCTTGTTTGGAAGGATTAATATTAGATTTGGTTACATGGATTTTGTTGATGACTACACAGTGATTATAGTTCACCCTGAATGAAATTTGATTTTCTTTGCTAGGGAGGATGGAACAATCATCGCATATGACCTAGACCGCATAAGAGTTCATGTCAACCCTGCCCGTGTCTTTCGGTATGGTAGATGTAGCATTATTGAAAATAGTTCATCTGCAAACCATTCTATCTTCCTTATGTTCCCTTGTTCTTGGATTCATTAGCAGAGCAGTAAATAAAGCTACATTTGATGTATCTCTCTGTCATGCATTTTAAATGGACCAATATTGTTTGCTTGTCTATGGACATGTTAGTTTCTTCAATGATGGATGTTGTCATTATTTCAGCTAAACTAGTATGCCATCTTTGTTTTGTTTGCAAATTGAATTATTTCTTTGGTGCGCACATGTGTTACGGTGCTGTTAAAGCTCCTGTCGCCATTTCATCCATTAATTAAGCTGTAGTAGAATACTTATATTGATTTCTAATGTCATGGGTACATGGGGTATGTTGATGAGGGCGCTCCAAAATACACAAAAATGACACCTCAAAAGCATTACAATGCACCCGCCATATTGTACTACTTGGCAATGCTACTATTAAGTTAGCCAAACTTAAAATTGTAAATGACACAGTAACAAGCATCATAGGAAACGAGGAAAACTATGAAGGATACTGTCAGACACATTCAAATGTATAGAGTTAGGACTTTCTTACGTGTGCAATAACATTTCAACACCAATGGCTCCTCTGCTCTGCATTAGACTGAGGCGAGACTTGTGGTCGGACTTTCTTACGTGTGCAATAACATTTCAACACTAGTGGCTCCTCTACTCTGCATTAGACTGTGGCAAGACTTGCTCCTCATTGCAAGGTTCTTGCAAGTTCAACAAAGATTGACAAAGACACCAAGGCAACAAAAAAAGAAACAGAAACCAAATGACCTGAGCTACACCATGCTCAACAGATTGTAAGTGCGAGACTTGCTCGTAGGGCTGAAATTGTAATGGTTGTCACATGCACCTTCTTCTGATTGTAAGTGTAATGGTTAGACTTGATTTAGCTAAAATTGTAATAGTTGTCGTCGAGGATGAGGACAAGGACGAGGACAGTGATGCCGACGATGAGTAGAGGAGTAAATAAAGTTCTGTTTGATGTATCTCACATTGCATTTGATGTATCTTCCTTATGTTGGGAGTTCGGAGGGAGTACATGTTGTTACTCTTTCCTTATGTCCTTTGGTCATGGTGTAGATCAAGTCTTTTGGTCATTTGGTAGCTGGTTTCTAGGCCCTGTTAATTGGTTTTGCCTGTAGGTTTCTTTCTGGTTCTCTTGCTGATCTATAGTGTCGGGGTTGTAAACTCGGGGTGTCTCAAGGCACCGACTAATTAGTAGGCCGCACGACCCACAACACAATGGCTAACAAAGGCCTGAACGACCGATGCCAAGCAAGAACTGAGCAGAGCAGACTAGGCGCTAAAGATGGGGTCAGCCTTGACCCCTTCCACCTGCCTTAGTCACATGGCACTCACAAGATGCATGACCTCTCCCTGTCATGACCCCTAGAGGGGATGGGGGGAGGTCAAGTGAAGCTAGGAGTGCCTTCTTTGACAAGAGCAAGCATGCTGCACTGACCCCACAAGGACTGAGGGGACATCAGCCACCTCAACCCAGTTAGCCATCCTCCCCATGCCACGCCGCACCGACAAGACAACACCGCACCACGGTGGCAACAGGTATGATACCCACCATCCAAATATAGACCGACTAGACGCTTGTACGATCCCACCCACTATGTGGTGGGACCCACGATGATGGACTTGATGGAAAGGCCATCCAGACCAATAGAGTACCCTGACCCTGATGATCGGGGTTGTGGCCCTTGACCCCGCAAAGCAACCAAGCGAACGACGACCCTGGGCAGCTACCTACTTTGGGTATGGTGCCCTAGGAACCAGAAGATGATGACGAAGGCCACAATGGACACCGCATTACATAGGACGGCTGATGAACCGCCATCAAGGTTACTGTGCCGCCACGGCTGGCATAGTAGCGCCACATCACATCCTGCCGCAACATGGCCAGAAGACCATGATGATAGCCATGATCGGACATGCACCAGAAGACGGCGTTGCTTGCAAGCCAAGTTAGTTAGGCTCTCGACCCTTCGGTCAGAAGAACCTCCTCATTGTACAAGCCCTAGCCCCAAACTCTATATAAGGGCGGCTAGGGCACCCATCTCAGGAATGATTCATATCCTCTACCATTCCATTCATTCACCATTGTAGTAGGGCTCCTGGAGCTTCTCTTTGGGCAGCCCTTCGCCTAGCATAGGACCTTCCACCATTCTTGCACCTCACATTGTAAGAACTTTAGAGGATTCAAGCGTGGAACACGCACTCGATCATCTCTAACACTAGACGTAGGGCTCTAGCCTGAACCAATATAAATCCTTGTGTCCATTGGATGCTACCATCGTCTTCCTATTACAGCATGATAATCGTATAAGTTTACTAGTCCGGTTTACAAAACACAGATAGTTGGCACGCCAGGTAGGGGACAATCGTGCACTCTCGATCATTGAGAAGGAAGTGATGGCTCCCTACACTTACGTCGAATTTGCTCTTGGCACGGCAGCAGTCGCATCTGCTTTGGAAGCATCGAGTTTGCTGACATCAATGGACCAGCTCCTATAGATGGTCTTCTCCCCAGCCAAGTCTTGTGCTTTGGGGACATGGACATTGTAGCTGACCGCCTGGGTCGGCTACGACTAAGCGAAGAGAATGCAGCTCCACCACACATCTCGACG